GCTACAGCTTCATGCCTATCCATATTGGAGGTGAAACGGATCTTCGATTTGTATATTGTGCAGGTAAGGAATAGCTTCCTAACACGATTTACATACCATGTTTTTATACTTTTAAGTAGAGTATCATTCTAGTTATTTGTTTGTGGATCAGCTGCAATCTGTTACATGCTGGATAATTGGAGTGGAATGGACAAGGAGAACGCTAAGAACTACATATTAAACTGTCAGGTTTACTTCTGTTCTTGAAGTTGCTTTGTCTTTTGTATTCCATTGTTATTTGTCCATTTCTGTCTTAAGAAGACATTCTTGTGAAACATTCTTTGTGCAGTCATATGATGGTGGCTTTGGGTTGATCCCTGGTTCTGAGTCTCATGGTGAGTTGAAAACAATTCTTCTAGTTGATTTTTTTCATGTGTAACACATATGTTAGCTAGAAATTGTTACTGAATTGGTTATTGAGGACGATATAGATAACTAAGTTCATGCATTTAGGTTTCTACTTCAACGCCAACACATAAAGGAAACAAGTTTACTATATATTCTTATGTTATGTGGCATTGGGTTTATTTGACTCCACTTGTGTATGATGTTTACCTACGTTCTGCAACTTAGTTATGCAGGTGGTGCCACTTACTGTGCTATTGCATCCCTTAGGTTGATGGGATACATTGGAGTTGATCTGCTGTCAAATGATTCATCCAGTTCAATAATAGACCCTTCATTAATTCTCAACTGGTGCCTACAGGTACTGCTTCATAAAATCTGTTAAATTTACCTGATTAATATTACCTTTAGTTTCGTAATGATCCTGAGTGATCTGACGGTTTTTCTTACCTTGCCTGTAGAGACAAGCCAATGATGGTGGGTTTCAAGGTAGGACTAACAAGCCAAGTGACACATGCTATGCATTTTGGTTAGTCCTCTCAACTTTTGCTGTCACCGGCTCTAATTGTTCTGATAAAGTGAGAATGGGCCTTGCATATATTTGTAGGATTGGAGCTGTCCTTAAACTCATAGGAGGCGATGCATTGATTGACAAAATTGCTCTGCGCAAATTTTTACTGAGTTGTCAGTCCAAGGTAACTCTCATATCTCAGTTGATATTAATTTCTAAATTTGTACAGTAACTGGGTAGATAAGTGAATCTGCAACTAAGCTTATAGTTATTTAGCAAAAATACTAATAGCAGCCTATAGAGCCAATGGGATAGTTTGGTACATTGTCTTCATTCTTGTGTTTACATCTTCGATTCATGATCGGTTACTGATGATAATTAACACCGCCATTATTTGTGCATTTTTGTGTCCAGTATGGTGGATTCAGTAAATTCTCCGGACAATTACCGGATCTGTATCATTCGTACTACGGTTACACGGCTTTCAGCCTCTTGGAAGAACCGAGCTTGAGTCCTCTATGTCCTGAGCTAGGGCTACCTCTTCTTGCAGCCTCGGGGATTTGATTTTTTGATTGCCTCAAAGTCGCACGTTCTTCTATCACCACACTGTAACATTTATTTCAAGTTTTCAACATTGCGTAAGGCTCACTCTGTTTCAGCAGTTAGCTGGAATATTCAATTATTAATTATTACTGGCTCTTGATATGGTAACATTGCTAAAACTCACAAAATGAAAATTGTAAACCAAATTTAATTGTTGAATATGATTTAATTTTCTTTTTTAAAACTAGGGACGAAAAATCGAACTTTCAAATCATAATTCTGCAGAATCGTGTGATTAGTAAGATGTTGCATGATGGTGTAAGAAAATTCGGCAAAGAAACAAAAGACTATTGTAAGAGATATACTTTTGCAGTTTCATTTGTTAACGAGTGCGTGGTATTGTCGACGCCACTTGTCTCGGATAAAAAGTATCAGACATAAACTGCAAAAATTGGGACAAAATCCTAAAGGGAAAGAGATTCCCCACTTGGTCTCTCATGAGTCCTGTCTCTATTCATATTCGTCTTTATTCCAATTTACCGGTCGATGTTCAATTCAATACCGTAAAAAGAATTATTCTTACTGTAGCGTTTTCGAAGCAAATGATCTCGAATAAATCAAATAAGATTAGTATATAATTCTTTACCTTTTCTCTTCACGTGTTCTGTTTAACTTTCTAACTCCATATTCGATACTAAAATGAGAATTAAATCCTTTTTAAAAGTGAAAGTCGGTTTAGGATTTGAGTGCTGAGTTCATGCATCTTTAAATGTCAACCACAACACTCTGTAACTTTGCTATAATAAAATAGAATCCAAAGCCCATCTTTATTCGCAAGATTTGATTCAAAATTCACAAATTTGGCTAACAATCCACCGAAAATTTACAGTCGGTTTAATCCGATTAAGAGCCAGACCAAAAAAATGTTGACGATTAAGGAAGATTAAATCAGACTAAAAAAACCGGTTTAATTCTATTAATCATCCCTGGTTTTCTCCAAGACCTCATCTTCTTGATTGAACTTGAACAAATCCGATTCTTGAACTGTGTTTTACCAATTTTAGCACTTGAATTTACTCAGCTTCTGCAATCTCCATCACTTTCTTCTTGTAGAGCTTTTCTTCTGCGTCTCTTAAGAACTTGAATCTCGACAATGGCGAAGATGATGGTGAATGTGATGATGACAGTGGAGATGATCTCACTAGTCTATTAAACTCAGCATCAGAAGATGACTCGAAGAAACTCGACATCTCTTCTTTTCTACCATTACAAGACTCCATTAGTAATGGAGTTAAAGGAGGCGTGAACAACGAAGGAGAAGCACGAGGAGTGAGATATGGGGGAGTTATCGCACCACTTTCCATGTTAAGAAACAAATCATTCAAAGTCTTTCCTTTTGTGGAAACCACATCTTCAGATTCCATTTCTTCCACTGTTTCCTCCATGATTGTGAACAGAAACCTCGGCACAAGCCCTGGACCACCCACATTCTCAAAACCATTATTAGGAAGACATTGTTGTTGAGTTTCAATGGGTTTAGGGTCTGAGAAAGAGGAAGAAGAAGGAGAAGAAGAAGGGTTTGTGCTACTACTGCAGCAGAAGATAAAGATAAGCTCTCTGGTTCCAGGGGTAGAATAGTCATTTCGAAAATCAGGTCTTCTCGTCGTCGACCTCTTCTTACACCAAAGCAAGTAATAGAGTTCAGCGAGAAGAGCTAGTAGCAAACAACCAAAGACTATGCTTAGAGCAAGTCCCACACTGCTCAAAGATCTCATCGTTCTTCTTCTTCCAGATAAGATTCACTTCTCTTATACATCGTTTAACCGACAAAGAGAAGACCTTTTTATCAGATTCGACCAAAAGATGATGAAAGAACGGAAACTATGGAGGCTGTTTATGACTCTGAGAAAATAAGGGTTTTTGTAGAGACGAAACTAGATTTCAGTTGGGAATGAAAGAAAAAGCTTGAGAATGTGAATAAATAATTTCCTAAAAAAAGTGTTATATAGCCAAGTGTGGAAGTGAAACTCACTCATATATATATTTTTTTTTTCACAATTCACTCATATATTAGAATCAATAAAATGCATAAGTGAATATGAAATTTTACCCTTAATGAAAGACTCTACTTATACCATTCTGAAATTTTTTGGTAAGTTGATCTCTATTAATAACCTAGTAAACTAAATAAACTTCTTTTGGTAATTAATAACCACCAGATGGACGATGGACAAAGGGGACTTTCAATTTTGAAAACATAAGTTTATCTAATCTTTGATTTACTGCTTTGTTATAAAATTAGAAAAACATTTGCAACAATTTTTTTCTTTATCGAAAACTAGTTTCCCTTCCAAAGCATCACATATGGATAGCACTTCAAGGCCTTATAGCCCCATGTGAATGTGAGATATGTGAACTTGAAACTGACTAACACAAGTAGCAATAAAAGAAAAACATAAATGAAATAGAGTGAGATTTGTTTGTTTTGCGGTTCTTCATGTTGATTGATATCAAAGTCAGAATCAGATTAGCCTACCAAATCGAAGTGTCAGTGATTCCGCCTCAATAATATAATTTCGTAATGTCCATCAACAATTATCTAGCCTCTTCCATCAACCAATCACAACTTTATGTAGTACGCTAGTAGCCAGCATTCATAATGATATCCCAATTTTAGATTTGTTTCCTTTCGTCATACCACTTGATGGCTTCTTTAAATCCCTTTATTCTCTTGAGTCCGTGACCAACATTTTTGCAAGCAAAGTGGAATCATGGATTCCTAAATAACAGAAACGTTGGGAAATTGGAAAGTATGTTCATATTTCTAATGAGGCAAACTAGTTCTTCTTCCCTTCTCAACAATTGCAAATAAACTTAACATTGATACAAAAAAAAAAAAAAAGAATTGCAAATAACACAAGAAAATAAAACGGTGACTCAGTCTTAACCTCACAAATTTTTCAAAGGATTTCATGTTTACAAATTTTCTCTTGCAGATATCATTTCATTTTGCAAATTAATAAGTTTAGTCCGGTGATTGTAATCCTTGGGTTCATCATGCATCTTCACATGTCGTATATTGCATTTCCTTTTAAACACGGCACATTATATATAGCAAACTTAATTTTTGCTGCTCTCCAACTTCAACTAAAACATAATCTAACAAATAGGAAATAGAACCACTTAGTTCCATCCCACCACAGATTTATTTTCTTAAAAAAGCTATCATTATCCATATTTTATGAATCACACTCACAATTTGTGATTATTTATCGTATTAACGAGCCCACACATAAAATATCTTAATTATCCATCTACCTTAAAAATGTGCGGACCGTCTCACAAAGTCACAACAAATATACAGCTTTGCTTGTCCCTTTAAATCCCGATAATACCCTCCGTTGCAAGGATAGAACGGGTACGTGTTCATTACCCAACCCAGCTTTATTAATATTTATCCTACGTGTTTATGACTAGACACGTAGGTCCCACTCAGCACCACGACAACCCAATAAACCTAAAAAAACAAAAATAAATAATTAAATATCTTTTGTGTCTTCTTCCTTTTTCCCCGAGATTTTTTTTCCTCTGTTCGGTCAGCCATTGAATTTTTGATTCATTGGCTCTAAAAAAGAATTCCGAACGGTGAGAAGAGCGAAGAATGGGAATTCTTAACGACGACGCCGTGTTAATCGAACCGGGAAAAATCTCCGGCGATCCCACAATCGTTACCGTCAATTGCCCCGATGAATCCGGTCTCGGTTCAACTCTCTGTAGAATCATCCTCGAATTTGGTCTCTCCATCACCCGAGCAGGTCAATATTTACTTTGACTTCGTATCTGTTTAAGGGAATATTCTCTGTTTGTCGTTTAGTTTAACGGAATATTCTTCTTTATGATTCGAAATTCAGTTTCTGTTTTTCTAATTTGATATTTGTGAAAATGGTGTTTTGCAGATTTTTCAACAGATGGAAGATGGTGTTATATAGTGTTTTGGGTTACTCCAGATATTAGCTCACCTAGAATTGATTGGGACAGCTTAAAGAATCGTCTTTTATCTGCTTGTCCATCTTGCTTAGGCTCTTTCTACTTCTGTCTTCAATCCAATGTCTCTAAGCCTCCTTCCCTTTATCTTCTCAAGTTCTTCTGCCGTGACAGGAAAGGATTGCTTCATGGTATGCGTGAAGTTATTGTCTTTTGTCTTGTGTTTTTTTTGGGTGTTTTCTTTAGATTTTTGATTGAAAATTTGGGTTTTTTGGTGATTTGTAGATGTTACTAAAGTCTTGACAGAGCTAGAGTTTACGATACAAAGAGTCAAAGTCATGACAACACCAGATGGAAGAGTTTTGGACATGTTTTTCATCACTGACGCAATGTGAGTTTTTTTTTCTGATTCTGATGTTTCATTTGAGAGTAGAAGCAACATTAGCGTTGTGGTTTTAACCCTTGTTGTGTAACAGGGATCTATTGCACACGAAACAGAGGCAAACCAAAACGTGTGACCATCTAACGGCTGTGCTTGGTGAGCATGGTGTGAGCTGCGAGCTTGAACTAGCTGGGCCTGAGTTAGAGAGTGTGCAACGGTTCTCTTCACTTCCACCTGTGGCTGCTGATGAGCTGTTTGGCCCAGATGGGTTTGATAATAGCGGCTCTAGCTCTAACAAAGCGGTACTCACGGTTGATAATCAGTTGAGCCCTGCGCATACGGTGCTTCAGATTCGTTGTGTTGATCAAAAGGGGCTTTTCTATGATATCCTCAGGACTTCCAAAGATTGCGATGTCCACGTACGTTAAGAGAACCTAACCTTACTACGATTCTGTTAATCGAAGTTACCGTTTTTAGGCTTGTTCCTTGGATTTGGTTGAAAGATTTGTGTAACTCAAGTAGTACTTGTTTCTTTATTCAGATTGCCTACGGCAGGTTCTCCTCCAAGGTTAAAGGCTATCGGAATTTGGAGTTGTTTGTTCGAGGTACAGACGGTAAGAAAATAGTGGACCCAAAACATCAAGCCAACTTCTGTGCTCGACTTAAGGAGGAAATGATGTGTCCTTTGCGAGTGATTATTGTAAACCGAGGACCAGATACTGAGCTATTAGTAGCCAACCCTGTGGAGCTATCTGGAAAAGGAAGACCACGAGTTTTCTACGATGTCACACTTGCGTTGAAATCACTAGGAATCTGCATATTCTCCGTAAGTATAATACATTATTGTGTTCTCTAAGCTTTTTAACGGTTATTTCGGTTTGTTTAAGATTGGCATTGTGTTTTCTTATAGGCTGAGATTGGGAGGCATTCGACTTTAGATCGACAATGGGAAGTTTATAGATTTCTTTTGGATGAGAGTCGTGAATTCCCGTTGGCTAGTCTCCGTGCGAGAAATCAAGTAGTAGATAGAGTCACAAAGACACTTATGGGTTGGTGAAGTGAATGATAGAGAGCTTTCATGAACATTATTATCCTACTCGAGAAACCGAGTCTTCGCTTGCAGCTTCGGGTCGATGAAGAGTGAGCAAGGGGTTGTGATTCGGAGTTTGGTTGCTGTTGTATGGAGCTAATAGCGTTGTAAAGATTTGGGAAATTGTAAAATGACGCAATTGCAATGAATGCTTGTAAAAACTCACTTTGCAAAGGTAAACCGAATCTTTCGGCCGTTGATGAGGTGGTTTCTACAAGAGAGCAACACGGAGACTCGGTGTGTTGAATGTGGGAGAATTGACCCGAGCCAGGTTCCATTCGAATCGCAAACATGTACATTTATACATTGGGGATCATATGGTAATTAGACATTGTATCGAGTGTCGCCATTAAAGAGAAGCACTTATCTATGTATTTTTGAATTCTTTTTGTTAAGATATGGTTACCATCAATATATTAATCTAGGACTGTACTTTTTTTTTTTTTTTGGTGAATCAGCGGGAGTTTCACTCCCAGCCATTATTATTAAAAAAAGAAAATTACAAACGAATTAAACGCGGATGCGAAAGTCCCGATACATCCTCTCGTACAACCGAGTCAACAACTAACGGACTCAAATTTAAAGCATGAAAACCTAACGGTAATGAGAACGCATAGTTCGCCAACCCATCAGCAAGACGGTTGGCCTCCCTATACACATGAGAAATACGGACTATCCAGTCCTTCGAAATGAAGCCATGGCACAAGCATACCAGGAAAGACAAGGGATGGGTCTCACTTATCCCCGTCTCGAAGAATCCAACAACAATCTCCGAATCCACCTCGACCTCCAATCTCGTAATCCGCTTCTCCCAAGCTATGTATAAACCATAATACACTCCCCATAATTCCGCTAGCGGTGCCGAGCATCGCCCAATATTTAGAGCAAACCCTCCACACCACTCACCATCTTCATTCCGTAAAACCCCTCCAGCCGTGGCCAAACCCGGATTACCATGTGACGCGCCGTCCGTGTTCAGCTTGAACCATCCCATGGGTGGAGCCGACCACTTGATCATGCGTTCAACTCTCCCCGGCAAACCTGTTCTTTCCCTACTCACCGTGCCAGCCATTGCTATTTCTTTGGACAGTTCCTTGATAAACTTCACTCTGTCCTTCCACACCCTATTTTCCCCAAATAGATTTCCACACCTCCACTTCCAAGCCCACCAACAAGCCATAGCGAACATTGTGCTCCATGCATGTTCTCCTGACTCGCTCCCTCCTCCTAGGTTATCATACAACCATTCGAGTAAAGGCTGCACAAAGAACACATTCCTCTTCCTTCCTGGTATAATCCGAGCCCAAAGCCCAGCCATCGCTTGGCAATCTCTCAACACATGTATAATCGTTTCTATTCGCCCTTTGCAAACCTGACAGATTTCCGTATCGCATAAATGCCGACGATATCTTTCTTGATTTTTCATAATAGCTTGTTGCCCGACCAGCCAAAGGAAAACTCTCACTCTCTCCGGGGCAGCCACTGTCCAAATTCTGTCATAAACTTGTCCATTCTCTGTCCTGATGCTTCCTCCTTTGTTAACAAAGCATACGCAGTTTTGACTGAAAAATTCCCATCCGCAGTCTCTCCCCAAGACATTCGATCCCTAGCCCCGGTCACTGTATCTAGGACCACAGCTGCTAGCTCCAGCCGCCTGTTCTCCGAAACATAAGGCATAATTTGATCCAACTTCCACCCTGAACCATTCTCCCATAGGTCTCTAGCTGTCAGGTTCTCAAACCCTGCAGGAAGCTGTCCCGAACTTATCTCCACTAGAGGTCTGTCCAGCAACCACTTATCAGTCCAAAATTTAATCTTTTTACCGTCTCCAGGAACCCAACTAAGTCCCTTATAGATCACCTCCCTCAGCCCAATTCCCACACTTCTCCACGTAGAAGACCAGTTGCTCTTAACCCGAGTCTAAGAATGATCTTTTACATCCCCAACCTTATATTTACTCCTCAATACCTTTGCCCAAAGGCTTTTCTGATCATGGAGCAGCCTCCACCCCACTTTAACAATTAAGGCTTTGTTCATCTCACATGCCATACGGATACCAAGTCCACCATTACCTTTAGGTCTGCAGATTTTTCTCCAAGCAACTAGGTGGATTTTTCTCTTCTCCGCAGTACTTTCCCACAGGAAATCCCGCGAAATCTTATCTAGAATGTCCAACGTAGACGCTGGAAGTTTAATGGTACTCATAGAATGGACAGGGATTGATGATAATACCGCTTTTGTAAGGGTAATTCGACCCGCAAAATCCTTTCCAACCCGAGAGTCTAGTTGACATTCTATCAAGAATTTCCCCAAACGTATCCTTGTTTATTCTTTTCTGCAGTAGAGGCATTCCCAAATATTTCCCGAGTTCCCGCGTTGACTTAATCCCGTTCTCATCACTAATCAATTTCCCCAAATCTCTAGACACATTCTCGGAGAAGAAAATCTTTGACTTCTCCAAACTCACCTTCTGTCCCGAAGCCAAACAAAATTTCTCCAATACTCGTCTTATCACCCGGATTTGTTCCACGGAAGCTTCAGCAAAAAGAATCAAATAATCTGCAAAGCATATATGGGACAGTTTTGGGCCACCTCGTGATAAACTAATAGGCTTCCATTTCTTCCTTTCAATCTCCCCCTCAATCAAGTGACACAAGCGCTCCATACACAAAACAAAAAGATATGGTGACAATGGATCACCCTGACGGAGGCCTCTCTGTGGCTTGAAAGCCTCCGTTTTTTCTCCATTCCAAAGTAAACTCATAGACGGCCCTGATACACATTGGAGAATCCAGCCCACCCAATTATCAGTGAAACCCGCAGCCTTCAAGGTATCTTCCAGGAAATCCCATCTCAACCTATCATATGCTTTTTCCAAGTCAAGTTTCAAGAGCATCCATCCTTTCCTCCCTTTCTTTCTTCGCATAGAATGAACAGCTTCTTGTACCACCACGATGTTATCTGTGCTAAGGCGACCCGGAATAAAACTGGATTGAGCAGGTCCTATCAGCTTAGTCATAATCTCTTTCATCCTTCCAACCATGGTCTTGGTGATGATTTTAAACAGCACATTACACAAACTAATAGGCCTGAATTGTGTAATACGTTCTGGCTTTGCCACCTTTGGTATAAGAACCACAAGTGCGTCATTAGCATTCAGCGGTAATGTACATGTTCTAAAAAACTCTTTGACAAACTGCAGTACTGACTCTCCGACAACTTCCCAACAGTGTTGGTAGAATACTGGTTGAAAGCCGTCCGGTCCCGGCGCTTTAAACCTGCCCATACTGCGCATTGCTTTCTCAATCTCAACATCTGAAAAGGATTTATTCAGCTCAGCCTTCACCCCGCTAGATAATTGAACAAACCCTTCACTTGGTAATGCATTTCCTGTCAGATCAACATTCTCCAGCGAATACAGCTTGCTAAAGTACTCCACAGCATGCTTCTCCAGCACCTGAGAATCCGACAACCAGCTACCCTATTCATCCTTAAGCATTTCAATTTTATTCCTTCTCCTCCTAATAATAGTAGATGTATAAAAGTAAGTAGTATTTCGGTCCCCATGAAAAATCCACTTCTCTCTTGACTTTTGGTACCATATCATCTCTTCTTGCTCTAAGACCACATCAAACTCTTTTAATAAACTCTCCTCCTTGCATAGCAACTCGTCTGTTTGATGCTGACCAATCAAATCTTGGACTTCCTGAATATCCTTTGCCAATTTCTCCTTACGGGCTTTGACATCACCAAACACCTCCCTGTTCCACTTCCTTAGAACCTTTCGTAACTTATTCAAGGCTTCTTTAGTATTTAACCTCATATTCCATGAAGTAACCATCAATTCATTGAAGCCAGGGTGCTGCAACCAAGCTGCTTCAAAACGGAAAGGCCGTCGACTGGGATTGCCCGCAGCCTCTGGTGAAAGCTGTATGTACAGCGGCGCGTGATCTGAGGCCAAGAAAGGTAGATGGGTGACAGTTGCTTCTTGCCATTTCAGACGAGCATGCGGACAACATAACACCCGATCTAATCTCTTTGCAACAAAGGAAGTTTCCACTCTACCCCGCTTCCAAGTGTACTGGCTTCCTTTAAACCCCATATCAATTAAAGATAAATCATTCATCCACTCACCAAACGCTAGGGAGTCCGGTGAGAGCTGACCATTCCCACCCGTACGCTCATCAACGCGAATAATTGTATTAAAATCACCTCCAATCACTACAGGTCCATCGATATCGCGAATTACATCTCTTAACAAGTTCCAAATCCCGCTTCGACGACTCACCGTGGGAGCAGCATAAACAACAATTAGATTCAGCCTCTCCGTCTCATTGACTATCAGTACATGAATGAACTGATCCGTCGAAGTTACTATCTCCACATCTCCAATCTAGGACTGTACTAATCCCTTTACAAATTGAGTTATATAAATAAGTTGAAGAAAAAGGAAATAAAGATGCATTGACAAGTCCATAATTATGTTTGGGAAAAATGTCATTAAAATCCCCAACTTATTCAAAACGTTGATTTAAATCCTCAACTCACGACGAAACGAAATAAATATCAAACTTATGTTGACTTTCCAAATAAATATTAAACTTATGTTGAATTTCCAAATAAACACCAAACTTTCATTGACTTGGCCATATTAGGCATGACGTTAAGTGAGTTAACAAACAATGTTAACACCTGTTAGTGTTGATCAAAATACTAACAAGTATTCCTTCTAAACGCAAAACAACGTTGTTTTGTCATAACTATTCAATAAAATCCCGAGTTTCAAATCATACTCTATTTAGGGTTAGGGATTTTGCTCGATTTGGGGATCTAAGATTGACTTTAGGGATTTAATTCAATCGTTACGACAAAACGACGTCGTTTTGTTGTTATATGAAACAATGTCGTTATCAATTAACACATATGTTAACAGAAAATTACCTCCGTTAACGAGATCTATTAACCCACTTAACGTCATACCTAATATGGCTAGGTCAACGGAAATTTGATATTTATTTGGAAAGTCAATATAAGTTTGATATTTATTTGGAAAGTCAACATAAGTTTGATATTTATTTCGTTTTGTTATGAGTTGAGGATTTATTAACCCACTTAACGTCGTATCTAATATAGTCAGGTCAACGGAAGTTTGATATTTATTTGGAAAGTCAATGAAAGTTTGGTGTTTATTTGGAAGTCAACATAAGTTTAATATTTATTTGGAAAGTCAACATAAATTTGATATTTATTTCGTTTCGTCATGAGTTGAGGATTTAAATCAACGTTTTGAATAAGTTGGGGATTTTAACGACATTTTTCCCAATTATGTTTTACTGAAATAAGATTCGAAAAATTAACGGTTTAACAATTTAACAGTTAATAAGAAAAAAGAAAACGCGTAAATTAAATAAAACGAAGCGGTAGGGTTAAATTCGTCGTTTCGTTATCCGTTATCGCTGGCTACTGCTCCATCGGCGGCTAGAGTAATCCAGTGCAGAGGTCCCATCTTAACGAAAGCTGTGATTGTCCTTCGTCTTTCGATTTTATTCTTAGGTTTTGAAATTCATGTGTTGTGAGAGCCGAGGAAGATGACGACACCAATCACCGCGAAACACGCTCCGGTTACCGGAAAAGAAGAAGGCGAGCTATCTGCTTCCGACGACGAAGTATCAATTCTTTCTCTCTAAACAAAACTATAATTTCTATTTTCTGCTTTTGATTTTCATAGTCTGCGAATCTGGATTCTGTTACTGGATGTGAACATATAAACTGATTTCTCTCGATGTGGTTTTTTAGATCTGCTTGCTTGTTTGAATTTGTGTGGGTTTATGGATTTAGGGTATATATTGTGCTAGTTCAGAGACTAGAGCTTGTTTCTTACTGATTTTTTCGTTGATTATTTGATTTCAAAGCTTTCGTGTTGCATTTATTGCGGCAATCCACTGTTTCCAGAATGTTTTTTTTTTTTATTGATTACCAGATTTCAAAACCCTAAAATTTCAACAATTTTGGTTTTCTTAGGTTCAACCAATGCAAACAAGCACAAGAGCTCCTCCTACTGAACATGTATCAGTTCCTTCAGCTAACACAAATATCCAAAGGCCTCAAGCGGGTAAGTATTATTTGTTATATACAACTTCAGGCAATTGGCTCTGTCTTTTTCTTGTTTTTGTTAAGTCCTCTGGAGATTTATGAGCATGAAGCGACTTTTATCTGCTCTGAGCTTCACGTGAATCTCTGTATCTACCTTGTGTTTTGATCGGTATTTACTCTACAGGAGCTTCTGATGTTTACCATGTTTCTAGAATAGAGTATATTGGAGATGTACACATACTTTGATCAGTATCAAACTATTAGAGCAAATAATTAGTGCACATTGTAAATCAATGTACAAATCTACTTATGTGTGTTTTCTGTTACTTATTTGTGGCGTGTGAATCTTGATTCTCCTGCCTTTAAAATTTCAATATAGAGTATTTTAAGTCGTTTGAAACACTTCTCGATGGAAGTTGCCTCTGAAACAAACTCCTTTTTTTTTTTTTCATTGTGACTTGTCAGGAAATGGCGGATCTTTAATTAAGCCTTCTGATGCTACACCGACGAGGCTGACACACCCAGGAGGCCGGATATTTGAGAAGAAGCAAGCCATTGCTGCCATTCATGGGAAGAAATTTCCTGCAAGGGGCAACAACAGCAACCTCGTGATAAACTTCTCAGATGATGATAGTGGTAGTGAATCTGATGGTAACAGACGGACACAGACATCAAACATTCAATCAAAGGGAACCATGTCTGGGAATAGAAACCCGTCTACATTTTCACAAACAAAATTGAAAGGACCAAGACAAACTGATAACCGAGCCATAACAAAGAAGCCGTTGCCCACTAGCACCTTTAGTCATGCTGCGACTTCCAAAGTTTCCAACCTTTCATCTGCTAAGGAAATGAAAGCCAATAAAAATATTCATACCTCTGAAAGGACGGTTAGCAAAGATACACGGCTTCCTGAACAGATTGTGAATCCCAATAACATCAAACTTCAGGATTTGAAGCAGCAGATTGCGCTTCGGGAAAGTGAGCTGAAGCTTAAGGCTGCACAGCCAAAGAAGGATGCTATTAACCCAAAAATCAGTCCAGCAAGGAGAGTCAGTATTATTTCTGATGATACTAGACAGCTAGAACCAAACGAACCTGCCAAGAAGCGCTTAAAAGTTAGTGGAATTGACACAAGTCAGCCTGTTACTGATTACAGAGTGCCAGCATCTGCTGCCGCACCAATGGATGTGCCAGACATCCGTAAAAGTCTACTGCCAGGTGAGTCTGGAGGCAAACATTGAATATGCTACTGGCTGTTTCACTTAAACTCTATCTTGGTTACGGTATTTAGTGTTTTGATTTTTCCCACATCTATCACCTGACTCTGATGTTTATTGCAGGTGTCAATGCAAATCCTAGTTGCAAGCACCTTGGAAGTAACAGTGATGAGATTGTTCCACCTGTTGTTTCTCAGCACACTGTGGAAGGAAATACTAGCTCAAGTGTCGTACAAAAAAGCGCTGTACGTGTTACCACGGTTTTGTGTTTTGTGCTTTACTAGAATTAGAAAATTTGACTCAAAAGATTATTTAGCTTTGCTACTTTCGGGCCAGAATTTTTCTTTATTTAAGCATAATTATTTTTATTGCAGGGCAAAGCTAATTGTTACGAAGGTGGAAGAGAACTGGAAACAATGAAAAATGTTGATAGGAGCGTGTCAAGTGATCAGTTACTTAAAATAGTCAATGGAAACCATCAGGTTTTTTCTAGATCCTCAAATAATGACTTGGAGGCAGCTGGTAGGATTTTGTGATCCTTACTTTTGATTTTTTTTTCTTCTTGCAATTTAGTCTTGTTTGAATAATTCTGGCCTCTGGAACATCCCGGGAAATACAACAGCTCCTGGACATAGTCAACTGGATATGCTATCCTTGACGAACCTAGAGGAATCACTTGACAAAGAGTTGGAGGAAGCACAAGAACGTAAACGCCTTTGTGAAATTGAAGAAAGAAATGCGCTTAAGGTGTATAGAAAGGCACAGAGATCTTTGATAGAGGCAAATGCCAGATGTGCAGAACTTTACAGTAAGAGAGAAATTTTATCTGCTCATTATGGATCTCTCCTCGTGCGCGACTCCAGATTGTTGTGGCCTTCTATACATGGTGAGAGTCCTGAAACTGGGTTTCACTTCTTGAATAATAGTACTGGAAATATTGATTTGGCAACCAAAACGGACATCGCTCAGCATACTCAGCTAGAAAGCAACCACAGATATAACAGCGATTGTGGTGGCAGTCAGCCTCCACCTCATTCCCGTAGTGGACAGAATTTGGGTTCAGAACCGTACAGTGATCTTGGTGCTAGTACCTCTGATGGGTTGCCTTGCAGTAACAAGCAAACTGCAAGTAGACTATGCTCCCCATCAAGTGATGCAAACATTTTGCCAGATGACGAGTCATTTCCAGTTGACCATGAATCTACGGAGGGGAACCTTGGACATCAAACAGAAAATCTTGATCAAACACTAGGCAATCAGAATGCTTTGCTTCTTGAAGCATCATTAAGATCAAAATTGTTTGAGCATCTAGGCATGAGGGCAGAATCTAAGGGTGTCACATGTTTCAATGGAGAGACTGTGATAGATAGAGGGGATGAAAGAGATGTTGCAAGTGAACGAACCCAGAGAGATGATGGTAGTCCTTTCTCCGAAATATATCAGCATAATGATTCTCGAGGTAAGGAGTTTATCTATAAGAGATTGGCATTTTGTTTAGTTATTTTATGAATGTTATGTGTGGCTGTGCATTCCCTTCAGAACCGGAAAAAAATAGCATGGTCGTTTTGGAACCTGATTTTACATTGCGGATAGCATGTGCATGAACTGGCGCCAAATTCCCTGGCTCGTGATGAGTTCCCATAGCATTGTCCGAGATGGCTGAACCAAAGTGGTCCCCATGTGCTTCACTTTCCTTTTTATTTTCAGTAAGATGTCTTCCTGTTTTCAATTTCAGAGCCAGGGGCCAATAAACTGCAAGGAAATCCCTCCGAAGCACCAGTTGAACGACGCTCAATCGAGGAATTTCAGTCATCTGTAGATATGGAGTCCCATAGGAGTTCACCAGAGAATGACCTTTTATCGTCTGTAGCTTTGTCAGGTCCTTTATTTCGGAGCACAATCTATCATCTGAAAGTCCCAGGGTCTTCAATTACGTCTCTGGGACCAGAATATACACTTCAAAACAAGTCATATAGCCTATATAGTGATAAAAGACAATGTAGGAGCTTGACTCAAACTACAGTATATGAGACAAAAATTGGCTGCTACACCTGTAATTTGAAGGTGGACCCTTCTTGGCCTCTCTGCATGTACGAGTTACGCGGAAGGTGCAATAATGATGAATGTCCTTGGCAACATTTCAAGGATTTCTCTGATGACAGTTTGCATCAAAGTCTACATGATCCTCCTGGTACGGCAGAATATTTTTGTTTAAGAGTTCTAGAAATGATATTTCTTTGCTAAAATTCCTAATTTATTGGTGTTGCAGATGGTAGAGTTGGGTCAAGTTCACATCAGAAGAAACATAATTCTTCCAAAGGATCCCAGATTTTGGACACGGTGGTTTCACCAACTTACCTTGTCTCCTTGGATACGATGAAGGTTGACTCGTGGTCTTATGAGTCCGTTCTGGCTCAAAGACATGGACAAATATGGTGGAAGCACTTTAGTGCCTGCCTAGCCTCATCAAACTCGCTTTACAGGAATGTACCTGCAAAGGAAAATGAAGGTCGAATTGAGGTCCTAGGAAATTCAAAAACATACTCATCATACTTCAGGATTAAGCATAGCTTGATGGTTTGTCTTTGTTTTCTCTTTCTTTTAATTTTTAACCTTAAATTTTGCTAATATCTAGCTGCAGATCTGACCGTTGTTTTATTCTTTTGTTGTTCTTACTGTCATCTTGCACTGACCTGCTTGGTGCATTCGTAGAATATCCTTAAACAAGGTTCAGATGCTGCTGTTGAACCCATGGAAATGGCTCTTATTATTTTCTTTCGAGAAGTTGAGCAGTCAGAAGGCTTGATCCAGGCAATATTGTTTGATTCCTGTCAATATTGTGTTGTATCAAATATAGCTCTCGTTCTAATTCTGGTGGCACATATTTCAGGCCCTTTCTTTGCTCTCACAATGTCTTGAAGGTGACCCAACTTCTGAGATTCTTTGGACTGTTTATCTCCTGATTTACCATGTGTATGAAGGATCAGATGGGAAAGATATGTTTTCTTATGGGGTATGTTATCCCCTGCTACGATATTGCCTGCATCTACATAACCACACCATGTGCATATTATGATTGATTGTTTGTGTATGTTTGCACATATTCATATATCTGATCCGAACTTTTATATAGATTTCTTGGCATATTATTATCTTTTTCAGTTTGTTGTCCAGTTACTAGTTAATTTTTTGTCTTTGCTATAGAATGCTTTGATTCTTAACAATCTTTCCGCCTGGTTTATATGGGATAACTTTTCAACTCTTCAGGTCAAACACAGTAGCAGATCATACGTAATTTGGCTTATGTACATCAGCAGTCGAGGACAACTTAATGATCAATTTTTTGCATATGATGCTGCCCTCTCGGCACTTTGCAACCATGCGTCTGGGTCTATTGACAGGAATCATGCCAGCGCTTGCATATTAGATGTTTTGTTGCAGATGTTCAACCTTTTGTGCATTTCTGGGAATGTTTCAAAGGCAATACAGAGAACATCCAAGCTTCAGGCTCCAGCAGCAGTTTCTGATGACCCTGACTTTTCACTGATGTCTCACATTCTCACATGCTTAACATATTCTGACAAATGTGTGTTCTGGGTTTGTTGTGTGTACTTAGTTATTTACAGGAAGCTGCCTGACTCTATTGTCCAACGACTTGAAATGGAGAAGGAACTACTTGAAATAGAATGGCCATCTGTTAATTTGGATGGTGATGTGAAGCAAATGGCGCTCAGACTATTTGATAAAGGGATGCGTTCCGTAGAACATTGTACCAATGGGTTGTCTGAAAATGGAATACAAAAGCGACCTGCTGGGCTATTTGCTCTGAACCACGCCCTGTTTATGGTTGCAGTAGATGAATTGGAAAGCTGTAGGGACATTTTGAAGGCATCTGTTAAACTCTACCCAACTTGCTTGGAGCTGAAATTGTTAGCAGTTAGGATGCAATCAAAGGAGTTAAAGGATATGTTTTCGTCTGGGTTTGAAGAGCTTCTCAAGCAGGAAGCAAAAGAGGCATCATGCATACAATGTATTTGGAATCAGTATGCTGAATATGCTTTGCAAGGAGGAAGCTACGACTTGGCAAGAGAACTCATGTCCCGTTGGTACGTGTCAGTATGGGATGTATTGTCCCATAAGAATAAGACAGTACTGGCTAATGAAGAAGAAGGTGATGATAGTTTGCTGGAATCAGCGTTATCAGATCTTAATGTTGCATCGGATCAGGTGGATGTGATGTTTGGCTATCTTAATCTCTCGCTGCATAATCTACTGCAGAGTAACTGGACCGGGGCTCGCTTGGCCATTGACCAAGCACTAAAAGCTACAGCTCCTGAGCATTTTATGTACTGTCTTAGAGAGCATGCTGTGTTTCAGCTAATCGACGAGTTGCAAGCAACGGGTGAATTTTCAATCAACCTACAAATGAGATTACTCAACTCTTATTTGGATCGAGCAAGTTCTTTACCTGTAAAAGAGCCACTATCTTGGAAGTTCATCAGCAACAGCGCTGAGAAACCGAGAGTCAGGAAGCTAGTTACTAACCTTCTTGCTCCAGTTTCATCTGAACTCTTAGTGGTGAATGTTGTTCTCGAAGCATGGCACGGACCATCTCTTGTACCCGAGAAGCTAAGTAAACAAAAGGAACTGGTGGATTTTGTGGAAACAATCTTAGGGTTGGTTCCATGCAATTATCCACTGGCTTTGTCTGTAAGTAAGCTGTTAAGGAAAGAAGAGAAACATTCAGATTCTGGTTCCTCCTCGGGTATTCATTTCTGGGCAGGTCTGAATTTGGTGAGTACAATATCTTGTGCCATCCCAGTAGCTCCGGAGTATATTTGGGTGGAGGCTGGAGAAATAGTGAGCAATATCAATGGTTTCAAGACAAGAGCTGAGAGATTCTTGAAGAAAGCTTTGTCTGTATATCCAATGTCTGTGAAGTTATGGAGATGTTATCGGAGTTTATGCAAAAGTATAGAAGAGAGAAGAGGTATTGAGATCGAAGAAGCAGCCATAAAGAAAGGAATCACTCTTGATTGATATGATCATTTGAAAGTATTAGGTCTTTTGAATTTTGTCCCCCTATATATAAGAGTTAATATTAGTAAGGGGAAAAAAAAAAGAAGGGAATATACAGTTTAAAAAGTTTTAAAGTCAATACGAATTACAGGTTTAACATCTCTTCTGTTTTTTTTCTGTGTTGAATGTTGTTTTTTCTTCTTCTATTGGATATTGTAGATCTTTAATATAAAAGTTCAGTCATTTGCATTTCAAAATTGTTGACAATAATTTCTATTCCAAGGGCTACCAGCCAGAAGATAGGACAAAGTTAGTTGCTTGAAGAATTAATTTTGTTTTTGTGGCTTAAAATACTAATTTAACTTCAACATTTAAATAGTTAATACTAATTTTAAATTTAGTACCTTTTTTAATCTTTAAGGTTTTGTCTCCATCAGCGGAATACACTACTCTTGAAACTATGTTGATAACAAAAGTTTTGTGACTATAATACAAACATTTTTTTTCTGATAACTTATTTGGCCTAAATGATCTGGTTAATCATGAGTGCTTATTGGATATTAGCACACCACCTTATTAAACATCCATCCCTAAGTCAAGAGCTAACTGACCCAGCATGTGTTTTTGTTTCTAGTAGTAGTCGAACTAAAAGTAGAACGAGTTTACACTTTACCTTCTTATCAAGTACCACCAGACCAAGGCCGGTCACTTAGAGATCCAAATACTTTGTATAAAAAGATTATATTTCGTTCAGCAAGCAATGAAACAACTTTGGACCAGCCATAACAAGGTTTTTGAAACAAAAACAGTAATAATAAGTTAAAAACAAGGTTCTTGACGCCAAATGAGTAATAATTAATAAGCAACAGAGTAACAAGGTTCTTGACGCCAAAAGAGTAACAATAAGTAAAACCAATCAAAAAAATCAACAAGAAAACACCAAAAGAGTAATAAGTAAAAAACAAATTCATAAAAATCCCTTAGTAGAAAAAACCAAGCACTTTACCCCCAACATTTTTCTTCCTAGCCTCTTCATGGTCCATGATTCCAGCTGATGTTGTCAGGACAATGTACCCAAACTGCTCAATTTGGTACACACTTAATTTGTCAGATCCCATAATGATCAAACACAGTAAAACATGAATTGGTCTCAGTGATTTATTCAATAAAAGAAATGGTTAATTTTTTACCTGTCTTGAAGGGAGTAATTTAGCAGTCCAACCTTCGATTTCCGTGACGACAACATCATATCGAGGACTAATAACACCGCAGTTGTTAAGCCTTCCATTAAGCTCAACCACAATCTTACCGGATCTGTGATCATCCACATATTCAAACTCTGCAATGTAACCTATAAACCAAAGGAAAAAGTTTGTGTTTCAAAGTCAAAACTGAACATTTTAGAGATTTCAGCATATAAGTTTTATTCGATACGGTATTATTTTCTTAAACCTAAAAAAAAAAAAAAGAAAAGGAGAGATCAAACAACAAGAAGCCCAAATAAGCTCATTGAGTAAAAGAACTGTACCATGCTTTTGCATCACAGTGAGAAACTTAATGATCACTTTAGAAGAGGGTTTTATCATGACTTGGCGTTTCCCTCGTTTCTCTGCATTACTCATGCTCTTAAGACAATCGTTTAAGACGCTAGCCCTCACCATTATCGCCTCTACACACATAAATATAAGAATTGCCTCATAAGATTCATGACTTGCGACATAAAAGAATCATAAATTCAGACTTTTTGCACCTGCCGATTTCAATTACAACTATATTACAAACGCTTAGGTAGAACAAAAGCTTATCAAAGTTACTTACGTAAAGAGTACGACTAGGTTTCGAAGGTTTTAGAACTAGGGTTTTCGACGGAGAATAGATAGCACAACCCTAATCTCTTCTTTATATACTTTTCCATTTACTACGAATCCCATTTTTCGGGAGAAAAAAAAAAAGAAAGAGCCCAACCGGATTCGAACCGGTGACCTATTGATCTGCAGTCAATTGCTCTACCACTGAGCTATAGGCTCTA